CTTCCAGCCAGTGAGCTGCAGAAATCCAAAGGGCAAAATGACACTGCAGAGCTTCTGCAGCTGGCCTTGTGACGTCCCTACAGAGCCCCAGATATATCCATCATTCTCCACCTAGGTGGGTCACTCCCGGGGGCCCGTTTCCAGCTCCCTAGAGCACGAGCTCCAGATCCATATGATGCTGGAAGGTTGGGGGGGGGGTTGTGCTTGAGACAGCAGTTTAGCCAGGTGTCTGAGTCCCAAGGGAATGGAAGCCGAGAAGAGAAGAGAAGAAGAAGAAGAGATCGGATTTATACCCCGCCCTTCACTTGGAGTCTCAGAGCGGCTTACAAACTCCTTTCCCTTCCCCTCCCCACAACAGACACCCTGTGAGCTGGCCCGTAGCTAACATGGGGCCCATGGGGCCTGGCCCCCTAGTGTTTCTTCTGGGGCCCCTCCATCCTGGGCTGCCCCCAAAGTGCTCCAACTTACCACCTGCACTGTACTTTCATTTAATTAGCTGGCGGTCCCCCCGAGGCCCCCTCCCGAAGAATTCCCTAGCTACAGGGCTGCCTGTGAGGTGGGTAGGGCTGAGAGAACTCTTGACAGAAACTGCTCTTTTTCAAGGACAGCTGTGCCAGAGCTTGTGACTGACCCAAGGTCACATCAGCAGGTGCAAGTGGAGGAGTGGGGAATCAAACCCGGTTCTCCCAGATTAGAGTCCGCACACTTAACTACTACACCACACTGGCTCTCACTACACCAAACTCTCACTACACCAAACAAGCCAAGACATTCAGATTGTGTCACAAGGGAATCCTGGGGAAGGCAGCAGAGGTGAAGGTCTTGTGCAGGGCTGACCTGGCTGCAGTGGCCTAGCAGAGTCATGTTCCAGGCCCCAGGACTGGGTCGGTTAGCTGCAGTGATGAACCATGGATTCCATTTGAGATATGAGCTGTGCCTAGACTACTGTGGAAATCTGGTTCCATTTTTCAGCCCCGTAACTGAGGAAGAATGTTTTGAAACATCTGGCATACCTGGGAAGCAATGCTCCCTCTAAGCTGTGGGGTCTTGTGAGCCAAAATTCTACTTTGTGAGCTACTGGCATTAGAGTTGTGAGCGAGCGATTCGGCTACTGCATAAATTAGTTTGCTCTGGAGCCATCTTTCCTGAGTGAAGACAGAAATGTGTGAGCTGGAGGCTAAAAAACTGTGAGCTAGCTCACACTAACTCAGCTTAGAGGGAACACTGCTGGGAAGGACATATTTCTGCTGCAGAAGTTTCTTTGTTCTTTGGGACATCATCTGCCTTGTTTGTGGACTTTGAGGTCTTTTGGACACTATTTCATGAAAGGATTCAGAGGAGTCTCTTGTTTTATTACCATTATTGGGACTATTATCTTTGAATTGTGACCACCAATTCTACTTGATGTAATAGACTTGTGTCTACTGGCAAGTTGTGAAAAGTGTATATTTGTTGATGGTCTACCCTTGCGTTTTTGTTTCTTCTAACCCCTAGGTGGCAGCAAACTACCCTCTAAGTAGCAAGTGCATGATGTCATAGTCATATGACATCAGTGATATGACAGGAAGGGGGGCAGAGTTATGACCTCACAGATATCAAAGCCAAGACAGCAGCCAGCCAGGGACATGAAGCACAGGCTGACCACCAGTAGGTGTGCAACAGTGCAGAACAAGCCAAGCATTCGAGCCATGGAGGAATCCTGTCTTATCGCTGAGTTATCTCACCTTTGCTGCTGCTAAGAGACAGTTTACACATTTAGAAAGTCCTCCCCGCAATCAGACATGTTTCTGTTCAATGCGAATTGGGAGTCTTCCATTGAGAATTTTATTCCCAGGCGTGCATGGTCCTGAGTAGGAACAGGGCTGTGGAGAAAGGAGGCTTCCGCCTTTGACCTGAAATGGCCCAGAGAAGCCACTATGTGCTCCACTGGGCAAACTTATATGAAGCCATGAGTACACATTAAATTTCTCCAGTGGGACAAATACCAGCTCCCTGAGGCCATCTCAGGGCAGGATCATGACCCAAAGTGAGTGTGTGTGTGTGGGAGGGGAGCAGAAGCCCCTTCTGCCTGCACACCATAGTCTTGGTCTGAATCAAGCCCATATGCATCTGGGAATTAAGGTGCACACCTGATCAAAAGTCCTTGTGGTGGACTTTATACTGTGTGCTTAGGCCCTAAGTGGGTACCTGAGAAGCAGATCTTCTCCCAACACGGCTAAAGACATATGGTGGATCTATGCAGGGTCTCTGTGACCCAGCAGATGGGTTTAACCTATGGGTTAAAGCTCACTGGGCTAGATACCAACATCCCACAGATCTCTATACTATCATAAAGCTGCAGCTTGTAATCCAGGGGAGGCATGGTGCTTACTGTGATTGAATACCAGCTTCGCTTTGGTAATGTAAAGGTAAAGGTAAAGGTTCCCGTGCTCGAAAGCCAGTCGAATCCGACTCTAGGGTTGCGGTGCTCATCTCCGTGTCAAAGCCGAAGAGCCAGCGCTGTCCGAAGACGTTTCCGTGGTCATGTGGCCGGCATGACTAAACACCAAGGGGCACGGAATGCTGTTACCTTCCCACCAAAGTGGTACCTATTTATCTACTTGCAATTTCTTGCTTTCGAACTGCTAGGTTGGCAGGAGCTGGAACTAGAGACGGGAGCTCACGCCATCACGCGGCACCCGGGTCTCGAACTGCTGAACTACTGACCTTCCACAGCCTGCAGTTCAGCGTCTTAACCACTTGAGCCACCGCAGCTCCTTTGGTAATGTAGACATGGCCTAAAGACCGATCCCAAGCAGTCAATTATTTTATATTATATACCACACACAATGTTTTTGTTTTATTAATCTCAGTGAATCCAAATGTGTTCTTACTCGGTTGCATTCCTGTTTTTTGCTGCAGGGATATTGCTTTTTCTAACACAACTTGCAACACCACATTGGGTTGTGCTTAGGAAAACACCATGTTGTTCTCCAACAGAGTACATTCATTGCTTTTTAAGATTGTAAATGCCTTAGGGTAGGGACCTGTTCCTTTTTGCCTATGAAACTCTGAGAAACACTATTGTGCGTCAGTGGTTTTGTATAATGAATGACAATAAAATTTTTGCTGTGCGGTAGTTAATCATCTGGCTAAGCAGCCATTCCACTGTTCAAAGGGTAGAGGCAACGTACCGTACTGTGGCAATTAAAAAACCCTCCTTCGTGTGGAATGTGGCTGCTTTATGGGCACTTCCTGGATACTTGTATAATTTAGTGATCAAGTTGAAATCCAACTGACGTAGCCTACAAAGTTTTAAAGGCATCTTTATTTACTAAATTGTAAAAAGTTAAAAAGATGAAAAAATCTTTAACTGAGTTTCCGCCAAGAGGTGTCTGCAGAGTTCACCTGTTGATAACTGGAGGGAGGAGCCTTTTTGCTGGTGGTAGCCCCACTTTTGGAATACTCTGGTCCATCTAGTCCTGTATCCCAAAGTAGCCAGTCAGATACTCCAGGAGAAAGGGCATAGAGGTCAAAGACTCCCACTGCTGTCCCTTTGCAACCAGTCTTCATAGGCTAAACTGCCTCTGAATTTAGCTGTCGTCTTTAGCTGCCATGGGAGGTAGCCATCAAGGGTTTTGTCCTCCATGAGTTTGCCTAATCCCTGTTTAAAGCCATCTAAGAGAGCCACCATTGCTTCATTCTCACTGTGGCAGTGAGTTCCACAAGTTAATTATACTTTGTATGCAGAAGTCCTCCCCTTTGTCTGCTCTGAATCTATTGCCCATCAATTTCACTCGGTTCCCCAAAGTTCTAGAATTAAAGGAAAGGGAGGGGAAAATTCTCTCTCTCTCTCTCTCTCCACCCCATGCATAATTTTATAATCCTCTGTCTTCCCACACTTTGTCGATGCTTAATGTGATTGTTGTTTTTTTATGGTTAACTGATTTTTAAACAAATATCTAGCATTTATTATTTGACTGTGATTTTTTAAAATTATATTGCTTTCGCAAGCTTCCTCTTAAGGCTGAGGAGTCCGGAGGCTACAGTTTTTGGAATAAATAAACATTGCTTAGCTGCCTTGGAAGATTACATTGTAAAACTTCCCTAAGTAAACAAAAGGGATGTCCAGGAATCTGTCAAGGGGGGGGGAGGGAGGGAGGGAGAGAGAGAGAGAGAGAGAGAGAGAGAGAGAGAGAGAGAGATATCGCAGCAGTAATTGTTAATCGCAGAGACTTTGTGCATGATACAACAGGCAGAAATCCAACAAGTAAAAGCCCGTCCCCCCCAAAAAACCCCCCGGAGAAAAGCATCTTTTAAAACGCATTTTGTTTTTTCTTTTCTTTTCGCAGTTGCTTCTAGGCACAAGAGCCCTGTCAGGGAGAAAGGAAAAAAATAGAGCAGCTCTCCTAGCCTGTGGTCGGATTAGATGACCCAGCGGCTTTGCTTTCCCTCTCTCCCTCCCTCCCCTCCCCAGCTAAATCCGTGCCTGCTGCCGCTTTAAGAGGCCGGGCCTGACTCTGGGATGGGGCCGGGCTAAGAGGCTTGCAACGAAATGCAATGCAGTGGCAGGGAAGGAGATCACAACAGACAGACGTGCACCTGGGAAGGGGGGGGGGGAGCACCTCGCAAAGCAGAATCGACTAGAGGCAACATCTTGAGAGAGTTTGCAAACGCGGTCACTGCACAAATTTTTTTCCCCTTTAAATTTTAAAACCAAACCAATTTCACTTTTGCATCGTATTACAGAGCCGGTCTGTATTTAAAAGTTTTTTTGGGGAGGGGAGGAGGAGGGGGGGCTCTTAGCGACTTTGATCTCTGCCTCAGATTTGTAGCAGACAAAGCTAGACAAAGGCAAGGTGGTGGTTGCCGAGTCAAGAGCGGGGGGGGGGGCGGCGGCTGGGAGGAGAGGAGAGCAGTGTGGGCCAGGCTCGTTTCCCCCGAGCCACCCCCATTTTCTTGCCAGCGCCCTCCCGCAAATTGCGTCCCCCCCATGCCTTGCGGCCGGTAAAGGAGCCAAGATGGGGGTTTTGCACCAACTCTACCTCTTGCTGTGGAAGAATGTGACCCTCAAGCGACGGAGTCCGGTTAGTGATTGGGGTCCGGGTGAGGAAGGGGAAGGGGTGCCTTTTGGAAATCAACATACGAGATCTGAGAGCTGCTGGAAGGCAAGAGGAAGGAGGGTGCTGCCGCTGGGGTGTCCACACGGGCTGGGGAGGGATCGGACCGGCTTTTCTTCCGAGTTCTCCCTCAGCAGCAACAGAGATTACAAGGCCTCCAAAGGCCATGCAGGCTGGTTGGGCAAGGCTGATTGACCAAAAGCCTTTCTGTGTGGAGGGGGGTGTGAGAGGATTGGGAAAAGCCCCCCTCCCTGTATGGCTGCAAGGGTACAGAAAAATCATATCTCTCTCCCCCTCCCCCGTGAGGCAGCAATTCGGGCAGATTCCACCCTCCCTTCTGCTATCACTGCAAGAGAAAGCAGAGTTTTAGGAAAGGCTCTTTTTCCTCCCCCTCCTCCTTCCAGGCTGGGTGCAGGGAAGGAATCGAGAGGAAAAAAACCCTCTTTCTTTGAAGGGGATCAAGAAAAAATCTCCCCTGAATTTGGAAGGCATTGGGGAAGGCTCCCCGATTCGGGTACAGGTGGTCAGAGGCTGTGCCTTGGTTTGGAGCAATGCTTTGTTAGCATCCCTTCCTCCTTCCCCTCCCTTCGTCTTGAATTGGACCGGGAGCATCTAATCGAGGGAAGGACCGGAACAAAATAATAATCCCGCAAGCTTTGTAGTGTCAGGGATCTGTATTTTTGAGGCTTGGTTTGCCCAGAAGTCTTTCCTCATTTGCCGTTAATGTGGCAGAGATAAAGAAAATGATCTGTTGGGGTGCGTGAGTGTATAAAGGAGCCTCTTTTGTGAAGGAACAGATGGATGATTTTCAGCTTGGGGGGAGGAAACGATTAGAAGGGAGAGAGATCTGAAGAATTTATCTGTGCTTTCTTTAAGGGAAATCAGACAAACCGTAAAGCCAGAGGGCTGTTCAATATCGTGGCTAGGTTTCTGACTGTAGAAAGGGAGTACTTCCTTGTGAAGTGCACCTGTGGCACTCATTGCTACGGGATGCTATGGTTTCCTTCAGTATTGGTGGATCAAAGAAGGGATCGATGTGGGAGAGAGATCTGTTGGTTGGTGCCTCCGCAGTTTGTCATCTCACTTAAAATTTTCTTAAATGTAGCTCACAGTGGGTAGAGTGTCCTGTTCTTTCTGCACCAGCAGCTCTGCATGAGGAAGGGTAGATTCCCATTTTACAACAGGAGTATGCAATATTGTGCTGCAGCCCAGATGGTGCATTCGTCAACCCTGTTGCACCATCCTGGAAGAAGCTACTGGGTGCTCTTCTTGGATTGTACGTTTCAGCATTATTAAGCCTTTAAATTAGTTTGCTGACCCTAGATATCTTTTGGGTGACTGGTGCAGGTGGGAAAACTGAAACTAGGATGGGATTTGAGTCTGAAGCTCCTATGAAGCTCCCTGACACTGAATGAGGCCATTAGGTTATCTAGCTTAGTCTTATTTCCTCTGATAGGCTGAGGCCCTCCAGGGTCTGTGAGCTGAACCTGGGACCTCTTCCATGCAACCATGCGACATGTGTGCTGGACCAGTTAGCCAGAATCTGTTGACAGACCCACTGTTTTGCAGAACTGATTGGCACAGGATGTTGTGATGGTGTGTTTGTTTGTGCATGTGCTTTGAAGCAAACAGGTGACCATAAGGAGATACAAATCGTTGGTTGCCGGCTCTGATAACTTCCAGCCTCCTTTTTCAGAAACAGTAAAATCTGCAATTACTGTTGCTGAGGATTAAGAGCAAATGATGGAGATTCTCATCCTGCTTTGCTGAACCTCCCTGGGATATCAGATTGGCCACTGTCCAGAGGTAGATTCTGATCTGGCAGGCTATGGCAGTGTGTCTGAGCTGAAAAATTCTTAGGCTAATAATAATAATAGTTATAATAATAACAATAGTGGCGATGATGATGATGCTAGCATTTGGAGAAGAATGAATATAAAATGTAAAAATCTTCATCAACGTCTTTGCTTGATGCTTAAAAACTTCAAGGGGCTAGTCCCTGTGGAATTTGCAGAGATGGCCCAAGGAGACATTTTAATTCCTGGAGCAGCACATCCATATGGGTTTCCCTGGAGGGGGTGAAAATATTTTAATAACATATCCCTTTAAGTCTGTTGCTTTTATAAGGTACCAAAATACTCACCGTCTGATGTGGAATGCTTCACCCTGCCTTGAGACTAGAACTGGCCCTGGGAATGGGGCAAATAGGTCCATCTTATGTATATCTCTGGCTCCTGCTTGCTGTCCTGAGTATACGGACTGCAGAAGTGATCCCATGATATTCCCTGGTTGCCTTTGACCAGCGCCTTTCTCTTTGCTAGCTCTGAGGATGCTTGGCCTCCAACTCATTGCATCTCAATGTTGTGCAGGCTAAATGGTGGGGAAGAGAGAACTGCTGGCTCCTATCCCCCCCCCCCCCCGGGTTTGTGCATCACTTTAGATGACGGGGCAAGAAACACTGTGGCATCCCAGCTTCTTCGCTGTGCCTGGCTCTCATAAAGGTGTTCCCTGCCTTCATGTCTGCCGTTGTATCTGGGTAAAGCATGTGTTTAGATGCCATGGCCCCAGTTCAGGCCTGTTAATACCCAGCTCCCCCCTCCTACTTTACTGCCTCTGATCAGCCCCTCCACTGCCCAAGCCTCCAGGCATTCAATGCTCTCCTCTGTCTCAGTTCTTTTTCCTGGCTGTGCCAATGTACTTCTGTAACTGGCAGGACTTCTACAATCCTCGCTATATTTAGCTTTCCCCCCCAAATCTTATGTGGATCAGGTCTTACTGTCCCCTGCCTTGAACATTTTGATTTTCTTTCCTCACGGTTTGTCAATCCCACTAGGTTTCCTGACTCTGGGGAGGCAGAGTTACAAAACTATTTGGATTTTATCTGCCCTCCCAGTCCCCCAGATTATTCTCTCTCTTCTGCCCCCGAAACATTGCATTAGTGGTACTTAATTTCCAAGACAAGGTGGGGAGGCTTGTGGCCAAACTGTTCTTTACCATAATCTCTTAGTAGCTAGGTCTGTTGGAAGGCTGTTTTGCAAAGAGGGGGAGGAGGAAGAGATGGAGGTCTAAGCCCCCCCCCCCAGCTTGCCTGCAACATCCGTTTCATTCTCTGAAAGCATCTTCAATGGGCCAGGTCAGATCCAGGATCTTCTAGTTGCAGATCCGTGTCATGTGGTAGCAGACATTGGTCGGTCAGTTATTTTGGAAAAACATTCTACACATGCACAGTTCTATTAATAATATTCCAAGTTTCACACCAGGCATTTAAAAAGGGGTTCTGTGGCTTATAGTGCTTCCTGCACCACTGGCCTCAGATTCTACTCTTTCTTGTGTGGTGGGGTTCTCCTTCTCATTTTGATCCTTATCCTTTAGGACTCTGAATTAGTGTTTTGTTCCCATCTTGTTCACTGCGTTGGATTTTTCTGCAGAAGCGATCTGGGAAGAGGCATTGATTCCCCCCCTCCCGTTCTTTAATTTATGTGCATTACAATGAAGGAATTTTGTAGGATGAAACCACAGTAGTCAGATGTAAGACTATTCTTCTGGGGATTAATTCTGTGGAAAGCTTTGCCTCTGAGTAATAAAGCAGTATTTGGTGGGACTGGGATTGCCGGAGCTCCAACCCGAAAACCCGCTTTTAAGTGCTTACCTAGCTTGAGTTCTCTGTGTATGTGAACAGTGTGTGTCTTTTGCCACTGAGTAACCTCTCAGTGGGAGCAATCTGAAGCAGGTCTTCTCAGACAGAAGTTCCATGTTGTTCATCTGAATTTACGCTTGGGAAAGAGTTTTTGGCATTGCAGCCAGAGTTTCTGGGTTAGTGCCTGGGAATTTCAGTGCTTGGCTCCTAGTACTTTTCCTTTTGAAATTAACCAGTGACTACAGACAACCACTTGTAGGCTTCCTACTCCCAAGTAAGCTGGCATGTGCTTCCTTGAGTAAGAGGGATGATCCTTGAAGAGGCTCTGTTGACTTTTGGCCAAGAAAAGGTTAGTTGTGATTTCTGCAGCTCATATTGAAAATCATCTGGAATGAGGGCCGAACTGGAAAGCAATCACATGTTTTGATAACCACAAGCTGTTCTGGATGATGAAATCCAGGAAATGGTGGCAAGGGACCGGATCTAGGCACAAAACCTAACGGACTTGGAAGAGCTCCAATGCGATCCTCCTAAACTGGAGTGTGTGCAGGGGAGTAATAACAGAACAAACCAAATTTAACATAAAGTGATAAGGGGTGGGGGGGGGGGGGAATCTTAACTTTAAATATATGCTGGTAGGTTCTGACCGGAAAAGAGATCTTGGGGTTGTGGTTGATAGTTTTGTGAAAATGGGAACCTTATGTATATAAGGCAACTTCTGTGTTTGGGATTATTAGGAAAGGACTTGAAAGCAAAACAACCAGTATCTCAGTGCCCTTGTATAGGTCCATGGTATGGCTGCATTTAGAAAACTCAGTATGGCTCTGGTTGCAATATCTGAACAAGGATATTGTAGCAAAGGAAAAGGTGCAGAAAAAGACATCTTTAAACGATCAAGTGGTTGTAATATCTTTCCTATGGGAAAAGCTAAAGAGTGTGTGTATGGGGGGGGGTGTAGCTTAGAAAAATATAACCGAGGGCAGAGGGACCATAATAGTCGTATAAAATTCTGCTCCCCTAATCAAATTGATGGATTCAGGACAGACGAAAAAGAGTCTTCTTTCATACCGCACATAACTAATCTGTGGAAATCGCTACCACTCATGATTTCCTCTATTTTGTTGTTGTTCAGTCGCACAGTCGTGTCTGACTCTTTGTGACCCTATGGACCACATCTCGCCAGGCCCTCCTGTCTTCCGCCGTCCTCCGGAGTTTGTTCAATTTCATGTTCGTTGCATCGATATCACTGTCTTAACCATCTCATCCTTTGCCGCCCCCTTCTTCTGTTACCTTCTATCTTTCCCAGCATCAGGGTCTTCTCCAGTGAGTG